TCTGTCCCTCACACCCGCCTTGGCGGTACAGCAATATATATATATATATATATATATATATACATATACCGCATTTTCTTTTCCCATTCATCTGTCAATGGACACTTAGGTTGTTTCCAGATCTTGGCTATTGTGAATAATGCTGCAATGAACATGGGAGTGCATATATCTATTTGAGATAGTGATTTTATTTCCTTCAAAAATCTATATATATCCAGAACTGGGATTGCTGGTACATATGGTTGTTCTATTTTTAATTTTTCGAGGAACTTCTATACTGTTTTCCATAATGGCTGTACTATTTACATTCCCACCAACAGTGTACAAGTGTTCCTTTTTCTCCACATCCTCACCAACACTGGTTATCTTTTGACTTTTTGATAATTGCCAATCTAACAGGTATGAGGTGATATAGGTTGAATATCCCTTATCTGAAATGCTTAGGAACAGAAGTGTTTCAGATTTCAAGATTTTTTTCCCCGGATTTTGGAATATGTGCATTATACATACCTGTTAAGCATCCCAAACTCAAAGACTCCAGTGAGCATATCCTTTGAGCATCATGTTGGTGCTCGAACAGTTTCAGATTTTGGAGCATTTTGGATTTTGGATTTTCAGATTTGGGATGTTCAACATGTACCTCATGTTGTTGTTTTTTTTTTGTTTTTTTTTTTTTTAAAGATGACCGGTAAGGGGATCTTAACCCTTGGCTTGGTGTTGTCGGGGGGGGGGGGGGCCAGTGAGCGAACCGGCCGGGGGTATATGGGATCCGAACCCGCGGCCTTGGTGTTATCAGCACCGCCCTCTCCTGAGTGAGCCACAGGCCGGCCGTACCTCATGTTGTTTTGATTTGCATTTCCCTGATGATTAGTGATGTTGAGCACCTTTTCATACAACTGTTGGCCATTTGTATGTCTTTAGAAAAATATCTATTCAGGCTCTTTCTCCATTTTTTAATTTGGCTATTAGTTTTTTTGCTATTGAGTTCAGTGAGTTCCTTATGTATTTTGGATATGAACCCCTTACTGGATATATGGTTTGCAAATATTTCCTCTCATTCAGTAGGTTGCCTTTTCATTTTGTTGTTTCCTTTGCTGTGCAGAAGCTTTTTAGTTTGATGTAGTCCCACTTGTTTATATCAGATCTTAAGTGACTATAGTCAGCTTTACTCTTATGGTAGGGGAGGCTAACTGCTGTCACCAATAGATCAAAAAAGTGGATAGTGGTTTAAACACAATAGAATTTATTTTTTTTCCTCATGTACCAGGGCCAGGTAGGTCAGCAGGCTGTCCCTTTTTCCTGCAGTCTTCCAGGACCCTACCTGATGGACCTCTGTCATCTTCAGCACCTGGCTTCCAAGGTTTCCCCGGAAAACTCATTCCTGCCAACTTGTCTTGTCCTGGGAGGTGAATGTGGACCAGGCCTGGAGGCGGCATACCTCATTGCCTTGATAGTCCATGGGTTAGGACACAATCACTTGGCTATGCCTAACTGTAGGGTGTGGGGGTGCTGGGAAAAGTAATTACTGGCTGGTCTGACCGCAACCGCAGGGGAGCATCTGGTGGACAGCTAGTTGTCTCTGCTGTAACATGAAAAGGTTAGTACTATGTGGAGTCCAAAGATACAGAAAGGCTCATTTGAGTGTTGCAGAAACCAGGCAGAGAGAGAGAGAGATGAGGCAAACGGGCTGGCCGGGAACCTGCCTGAAAGGCATATCTTAGCTCCCACGGGAGGGCTGGGTGTACTATGTGGAGTCCAAAGATACAGAAAGGCTCATTTGAGTGTTGCAGAAACCAGGCAGAGTGAGAGAGAGATGAGGCAAAAGGGCTGGCCGGGAACCTGCCTGAAAGGCATATCTTAGCTCCCACGGGAGGGCTGGGTGTGGGCGGGATCAGCAGGGGGTTCTCCCTGCTCCTGTCAGTTGCTCTCCTTACACCACCCTCAGCCTTTGTCTTCTGTCATTAGGTTTTAGGAACCAGACAGCAGAGACCCCGTTCCTGGGCAGCTGGGGACAGCCATCACAGATGGGGGCCACAGCCTGTGGAAAGAAGAGTGATGACCACAGAGGTCCTGGGGAAGCACCTGGCCTCCCTGCAGAGGGCCGCCATGTAAGGCTGCTGTTTGTAATAAAGCTTCATTGACTTTAGTTTGCAGTGTCTGTCTGCACAACAAAGTACAGCAAATGTGTGAGGGAAGTATTTTGTACTCATTGAAAAATTTTAACGGCAAGATAGTGTTATCATCTCCCAGTACATGACATTCAGGGAGGCTCAGTGACTTTCTCAAGGTCAACCCCCTAGCTAGAAGATGGCTGCGTTCCCTTCCATGTCCAGTCCCTCCGGTGTCAAAGCACACATTCCTTCCCCCAATGCACACTTTCTCCTTACATAGCTCAGACTTCTGACAGGGAGTCAGATTGCTAAGAACCTAGGTCCCTTTCAGAGGGTGGAGTTTTTCCCTCCCCCACCGTGTGTCCTGCTCCCAAAGAGCATTGGAGGGGCTCGCTGGGGATTCTTCACAAGAACAGAGACTTCCAGGGCGTGCAAGGCACATATGCTGAGTCCTTCCCAGGAGTAGTCTTAGGGCGAACTCCTCTCCCCACGCCCTCCAGAAAGTTAGGCTCACCTTTCAGGCAGGAGAGAGCTTGATTTCTTAAGGGGCAGATCTGCGTTCCCAGGTCAGGGAGGATGACTGGAGTTGCTGGGTGTGCTGACAAGAAATATTCTCTGTAGTCGCACAGAAGTCATCTGACTTAGATCCTGCAGGCTCCTCGGTCCTACATCTGACCAAAGAACCCTGACATATGTAGAGCTGGAGAAATGGCACTAGCCACAGTTCATGCTAGTGAGAATTAAAGGGAACAGAAGGGTTGTTCTATAACTATGGTCACAAGTAACCCCAGAGCTGGTTTTAAACCTACCTGATCCATCAGGGCCAGCATCATGCTTTGAAAGTCAGCCTTCAGAGGCAGACTCACTGCTGCCATTAACCCACACTTGCTTCTGTAACCTACAAGACACACCGCCCCACACCCTGGACTCAGTCAGCGGTCTGTTCTCAGCGAGGCTGTGCCTGACCAGCCAAACCTTCCCCTAAGTAAGCAATATGTTTAGTTGTTTTGGTTTAATATATTGAATGCTGTTTCTTTTTTCTCTTATGTCTATGTTTTAACAAATCAGTGCCTAGGATCAGTACCCTGAATGAGTAAGTGATGGATTTTTTTATTTGAATATATTGAATTATGTTTTCTAGCCCTTCTTTGCCCAGTGATTATGTTTAAACAGAAACGGGGCTATGGTGGAGACCTTGGGACATCTCAATCCTTCCTGGTTCCTCCAGCTGCTTGGAAAAGACCTGCTTCCTTAGAAATGAGGGCTCCTGCAGCCCAGGTCATTCTTTCAAAAGGACAAATCTTTTCCCAGGGATTCAGTGTATAAGACCTTATTTTTTATGAACATTCAAAACAAATTTCACATTTCAAAATTCAGAAGCCAAACAAGCAGGTCAGACAGGTGGGGATGTGGCTCTGACAGGACAGGGGACAGGAGGAGTGGGGGGCTTCTGGAGCTGGAGGGGCTGGAGACCTGCCAAACAGGGCTTAATCCTTGGGCATTTCTTTACTTGTAAGTTACCCTTGAGGTTTTTACTTAATTAGGCAAGCAGAAGGACTCAAAAGGCTCAGCTGTAGCTCCCACAGAGATCGTCTACTCCAGCCATTAAAGAAACCAAACCCCAGAAACATGAGGCAGATTCAGCAAAGTCAAAGAGCAAATTAATGGCAGGGTCAAGAGACCCTCGGTCTTCTGACCCCATCCTTGGTCTTTCCCTCTTGTACCAGAAAGGAAATTTGGTTTCATTATAAGCAACCTCTGAAGTTACATTTTCAGAACCTTTCTCATAGAAAATGAATCAAGCTTTGAAAGAAGTTACATTCATAAACTTAAGATTTTATTCTCTTTCTGTACATGTTGGCAATGATAAAGCTTAAAGATGCATGTCCTATGAAATATGCAAAAACAAGGAATTTACATAAATAATTTATACTTCAGAAAATTAAAGTCGAAAAATATTTTCCACATTATTAGAGTTCACAGTATTTAAAGTGAATCAAGCTTTCCCTCTTATATTTCAAACTATATTGTCTTAGCAGAGAATGATAAAACCTAATCAGGAATAAAATGATCAAGTTTCTGTGTTTATTCAGTGCACGAGTAGATGCTATCTCAGTATCAGGCTGCTCAAGCACAGAGGCTGCAGCATTTCATCCCAACCCTTCACCTCCTGAGTGGCTGTGACCCATCAGAGGTCACACAGTGTGGAATGGTCACAGCGTCACCAAACCACTCCACAGTGGACACATTCAACCAAGTGGTAACATCTGGTGGTCTGATGCCTCATTTCCATGTAATACTTTTTATAGCCCTGAAAATGGAAACCGTGGCATCTAAACACAGCTTACCATGTTAACACTAATACAAGGCACTGTGCTATGGGGTTTGGTTTATTTACAGGAAAGATCATGTTTGCATAGATTGCTAGCGATTTAGTGTGCAATAAAATAGAGGCCCCAGCGTGCATGGCTTTGTGATGGATGAAGCTGCGTGCTGTTTCCTCAGTCCCAGGACAGTATAGTCTGTTATTCTCTAGCCCCACATTGTGGTGTATCCTCTGGTGCTGTCCTCCCCCCGAATCTCCTACAGCAGAGGTTTTTGCTCAAAGAGCTGCAGGTCAAAGCGGACCCACACCTCCCCAGTGGGGACCTCATGCAGCAATAGTCGGCGGGTTGTAGGGCCTTTGCTTTCCTGTTCTGTTCGAATTTTTGCCACTGGAACTTCAGTACGACCCAGGAAATCTGGTGAATAAACATCATGTGAGAGTCAAAAGCCTTTCTTCTTTATGAAATTGTTAAAAAAACTACCTCAGGAGGAAGGTCTGAAACAAGATTTATAAAACTTTCAAATCCTAAACAAGTAACTTCTTTTGGCTTATAGATGTTTGATACTGCAAACGGATGTGTGTAAAGTGACAACAGATTTGTGTGAGAGAAGCTGCCTATGTGGAATTCAAGTCTCTCTGGTTAGAGAATGTTCTACTGCTCAGTATGCAGCAGGAGCACAGTGTTTACATCATGTGTATAGGTGGTGACGGGGGTCAAAGAACTGAAACACATCCGAGGCCACCCCCTCCCCCTGGGGAAGCGCATCCACCTGCTGCTAAGTGAGCTGACACAGGCCTGTGTCATTTCCCTTAGTATCATGGGGTAGATATGTGGCTGAGCACCCTAGATCAAGCCCCTAGATTCTAGAAAACTGGGGAAAGCATTAGATCCCCTAGCCAAGTTATACTTACCATCTGGTGAAAACTGGTCTCTGTCAAACATGGTGAGACACAGCACATCTTGGTAAAGATCCTTAATAAAGAACTGGCAGTTGAAATTCCACTTGGGATTTAGCGTGTCCTGGAGGGTTCTGGTGGTGTAGCTCTGGGAGCCCATGCTGATTTCACAGTACGGATTGCTCTTTCCTGAACCAAAACAAACCACAGACACAGGTGTGGCACATATAGGTAAAATGAGTGACTAACAGGGCCATCCTTGAGCAGAAGCGGATCCAAAGTGATGCTTCACTATAGACCACAGCAGGAGCCACTGCCTGGGGGGCCACATCCGTCTTGAGGTCTAGAAAGGTCTGCCACTTTCTGAGTTCCTAATATCGACAGCATCATAAACCTGGGGAGCAACTGTGAGCTCTAACGTCAGGACTGCTCCCCGTGAGGCTGGGCAAGTGTCAGTGCAACTTGCTGTGTGCTTTCTCGATGCAGAAGCACTCAGGAAGGCAGGCACTGGAGAAACAGAGGAATAATAATACCGGTCTGATAAACTAGCTTACCACCATTTTAGTGGCATTAGAAACACTGCCTTTTAAAAAGTCATGCCACCATTCAATGTTCAGAAGAGTCGTCGTCAAAGAGTGGGGCAGTTATGACATCTGTTGAATGAAAGAAGCGTTTACCATTTGGTTTACAAGCTTTTAATTCTGTAGCTTCAATAACATGCACCATCAGACGTCCAATGCCTGAAGTCTTTTGAGAGCGGGCTACAAAAGAGGAAGATGAGTCAATTAATTTCTTCTTTAAGAAAGGAGACAGCACAGTGACAATGCTAAGCTGTAGACACAGTCTGTCTTCCTAACCAATTCTAACACTACCCTCAGCCTCATCTGCCACTGCACTGGACCCACCAGCCCAGCATCTGGCTGCTCTGTGCCTCTCCCAGCGTGTGTGACCTGCTAGGAATGCCTCCCTCCTATCTCCGCCTGTCAGCAGCCTGCTCATCACCCTTTCACCTCCAGGTCCAATCCCACGTCCACCTTCCACACCCCTTCCCTCCACACTACATCCATTATCATTGACTTATGAGTGTCCCACAGCCCGCTGGGTCTGAGGTTCTGTGTAATGTCTGTCTCCTCTGCCAGAGACGAGCCATTGTAGATCATGGACTGTTTAACTCATCCTTGTGTTAACCCCTCAACTGCCTAGCAAATAGTAATAAAATAGTAATACATATTTGTTCACCACTTAATAGCAGCTAACATTTATTGGAAGTTTACTTTGTGTTAGGCATGTGCAGGTCACATGCCTAACACATGTGCTAGACCTTTACATAAATTATATTATTTAAAATACATCATTACCTTATAAGGTAGCTCCCCATTTTACAGATGAGAAAAACTCAGGCTTAGAAAGGACTGTAATGTGCTTGACTCAAGAGTTTCTAAATGGCTGGGTCAAAATTTAAACATCAGATACCAAAAGCTAAACCACTCACCCTAACTCCACTTATAAACATTTCAGCTTATGAAGCAGATTTACTTAAGGCTGTATTCTACTTAAGGAGGAACTCAAAATGCTTTTAATTATGGAGAGAAATGAGTCAGTGAATTCACATTGTCTTGGGAAACATGAAGTTTATAGTTAAACAGGCTTTGCCCTCAAGGGCTCAAAAACGAACAAGAGGATGCTTGCTGAGCTGCTGAGTTTTTGAACTCAGGGCAGTAGATTCCTGTCTATGAGAAGTGACCCACTCTTCATTTGTGCCCACACCTCCACCTCAGAATGTGCACTCTATTCCCCTGAAGGCAGGGGCTAGGCCTTACTCATCTTTGTAAGCTCAGTTAAGCCTAGCACAGAGCCTGGCACAGAGGAAGTAATCGATAAATATCTGAAGAATTGAACATGGATATTGATCATGTGTAACAATATATACAGATATTGATGGTAAGCAAAACTCATAGAGAAAAACTTTGATTTGCATCTTTGACCAATTAAGAGATCACTGTATGCTTTACAAAATGATTCAATCATTGATTTTTCAATAGCAAGCTTTTAAAGTACCATTAAAATAACATTCAATTAGTAAAAGTTGATTTACACATACCTTTCAGGAGTATGTAACAAAATAAGGGACACCTGAATAAAAAAACACATTGAAGAGCTGCAACAGTAGCAGCTAGGAACCTGCGTGGGAGGCTGAACAGGGAAGGGATGTGGCATGGAGGTGGGACGGGCGGGCTAGAAGGAGGCTCAGAGCACAAACTCCACTGGGTGCAGAGGCCGCACGCAGGTCTGAGCCCAGCTGGGGAGGGGCAGGGAAGTTGAGGCTTGGCATTTGTGTGCAGGCTGGAGAAGGATGTAGGAGCCATGACAGTTCTAGTCCGAGGGCCACAGCGGGGGCTGGGGGTGGAGGGATGCTTTACAAAGACCATTGAAGCTACACTGAGCAGGGGATGATCTGTTCACGAACAGGGAGGACACAACAAGGACAACAAACATGGAGCTCACTAGGCACAGTTCCGTACCGGGCCCTGCAGGGGTATGGAGATGTCTTCAGGGGAGGAAAGGGGCTCAGGGGACTGAAGTAGAAGCAACAGGACCACAGTGCAGGGCATAATCACAGACCCAGGGGCAGTGGGGGACCGGGGTAGATGTCGCGCTGGTTAGGGTGTTGGGGAAAGCGTCATGGAGGAGGCTTGGGCCTTGAAGAATGGGAAGAATTTTGATGTGGGGGTAGAGCATTTCAGATGCAGGGGCAGCTGAACAAGGACGGCCTGGCAGGGCGACAATCAGTGTTCGATTAGGCAGTGGTATGGGCCAGATGCAGGGAGACAGTGAGAAACGGGCCTGCGAACAGGTGACATTGGGGATGGGCCCTGAGTTTGGGGTAAGAAATTTGTCCTTCATTTGGGAGGCCATAGGGAGGATTCTTAAGCAGGGAGAGGTATACTAAGAGCAGCTCTGTATAGAGAATACTCTAGAAAGGAAGAGGGTGGTGGAGAGGAAAAGGAACCTCGTGCTATAGCCTTTGTGGGAGATTGGAGGGTCGACGCCACTGGGAAAGGAAAGGACCAGGCAGATGGGAAAGACAGTGATGGGAGAGGGCGCAAGGGCTCCACGACTGACTGGAAGAGAGGCCTGAGGAGGGGCAGAGGGCGTGTCAGTCTGGGTGGCTAGGACATACTGCCATCCACAGGGATTTTCAGGAGGAGGAGCTACTGCTGGAAGGAGGCTAATGAATCCCACCAGTAATGCCAATGTGCGGTGCCTACCAGGCTTTGGAGCAGTCGAGCAGGTGCGACTGTTGAAGAGGCGAGGGCTTGGGAGGGAGCAGCCAGACTGACCACTTAGACTGGGGTGAGGTCCCCAAGGGAGGGAGCTGCCAGAGAGACGTGGGAGAGAGTGCTCAGCTGAGAGTGGAGGAAGAAGAACTAGGAAGGGTTTAGATGAAGAAAGAAGGTTCGGTGGTAGGAGGACCCTCAGGATACACTGGGCCCAGAGAAAAGGAGGAGCCTTCATAACCTGTCATCAGGCGCAGGGTGCTTGAGCAAGGAAAGCAAGCCAAGCCACAGATGAGGTCACTGGTGTCTTTGAAGAAGCCATTTCCATACTGATGGGGACAGAATGTGGAGTGAAGGCTGGTGAGGCCAGGGGGAGGCAGAGACAGGGACAGATGTATGTTCTAGGACACCGGCTACCAAGGCAGAGGGCAGAAGGGTGGATCCTGGAGGAGAGGGCCGAGGCTGGCAGGGTGGGAGAGGAGCGGAGAGTGGATATGAGCTGAAGGGAAGCAGACAGAAGTGGAGCTCGATGGAGCAAAGTGGACCGAGCAGAGGGGGTCAGCTGTGGAGGGAAAGGAGAGAAGAATGAGTGGTAGACGAGGAACAGAGCCTGCTGCGGAGCTGGCACTGCCTCGATGTCCCCACACCTGTGTCGTCTGCAGGTTTGAAGCAGCTGCTATGGGGAGGGGGGGGGGAACTGGTGCAGTGGCTGGGCCAGGACTCTGCCGTCTGACCCCACAGCAAGTCTGGTCTTTCTGACTGTCCCCATTTCACCAGCCTCCCTGCAGGAGCAGCAGCTTGTGTCCCCAGAGCCAGACCTCCCCACCCCTAGGCCCCCAGTGGCTGGTTCCAACCTCCAGGGCACCACTAAGTACCTTGATAAGCCTTCTCTCGCTTCTTCTTTTCGGTGTCGATGTACTGCTCAGAGGCCACCTTGATCTTCTGGACCCAGGCAGTCCTAGAGGAGAAGCAGATGCAGCCATTGGCGGCTTCCCATGCACCTCACAGGCTCGGCCAGGAACCACAGCTCTGCACGCGTTCTATGCTCTTCTTTCTTTTGCTGGCCCCAGCTTTAACAACTTTCCAATCTTAGACCTAATATTAGTTTGACCAAAAGACTTGTTTGCTAATTTAGGATCGAACCGAGTTTCTAAAGATGGTTCTTGATGCTTACAAAACACCAGGAGCAAGGTGCTGGGGACCCAGAGATGGAAGATGCGATTAACCACATCGGCGACAATTCAGCAGGACGGGTTCTATTATGCAAAGAACTGTGCACACAGAGCAGGAGGAGCATCCCCTGGGGTTGCCATCACAGAGGCGCTGTTGGAGCGACACCCTGAAGGAAGCACAGCTGGCCAGCAGGGGACGAGGAAGGCCCTCCCCGCAGAGGGGCACGTGGGGACGGTGGATGTCTGGCTGGAGCACAGGTCTGTGGGTGGAGGGATGGGCTGAGGCCAGAGCAGCACCAGGAAGGCCTCAGAAATCAGCAAAGGACATGACTGTCACCTGAGGGTAGCCCCTGAAGGGATTTTAGTAGGGACTGAGGTGTGGGATCTGCCATTTGGAAGCTCGTGAGGAGTGGCGTGAGGAGACTGAAAGCAGGGAATCATTTTAGGAGGTGGCTGTGGTGACCAGTGCATCTAAACCAAGGTCTACCCATTGGACTGGAGTGGAAGGACGTGTTAAGAGAGGTGGAGGATACAGAATTAGTAGGACTTGAGCATGGATGGAGATGGGTTTATGGCAGAGGGAGATGTCCAGGCTTTCTCCTAGATTTCAAGGCAGGTCACACATGGTCAGGACTGACCTCTCGTTAATGTTGTCTGTTCGGAGGGTGTAGACCCGATCAATGTGGGAAATGTGGAAGACAGGCTCATCGCTGGAAGGGTCTGTGGGCAGTTTCACCAAGACTTCATTCAGGAAAATGGGCTGAAAAATTAGGGCCAAAACACAGGCTGTGAGTTGGTCCAGAACACTCCACCCGCCTATGTCCAGAGAGAGTTCAGTTTGTTCGGAAGAACCTTCTTGAGAAGTAGAAAGGGGTCTAGTGTCCAAAATATTTCACATAGGAAAAAAGAAAAGGCCTCCATTTTGTAAAGGTAAATACCCAGTGTGGATTAGGTGCTACTGCACTGGAATGGGAGCTCCAAGTGCCCATGACTGCAGATGTGACACCTCTCTCCTCTGCACACTGACACTTGGCACTGTCCTTCAGGCTCGGCTTACAGAGGCCCAGTGCTGAGTGTGGACAGAGGCAGGACCAGGTGTCATGTTTGCCAGGAGGAAGCCAGAATCCAAAGCTGGAATTCGGCTGACGGCCATCAGCAGTCAGTGAAAGCCCAGCTGCACGGGCATTCCTTCTCTTGGGAAGTGGCAAAGGATGTGCGAGCCGTCTGGAAATGGGTGAAGAGAGCCCCATGAGGACATGACAGGCTCAGCCAGGAAGGAGATCCTGAAGGTAGAGGTAAAACCTCATCAGGTCCCTGACAGTACTGCCTGGCACACTATACTCACCGTTTTATACATTTTGAATTGAGCGTTGGACTTAGAGCTGAACAGTTTCTCAGAGCCAGAGGAAACAGCAAACTGCTTGACCATGTAGGTAAGAAGCAGGAAGTCATTGAAGAGGAATCCATGTAGTTCCTTATTGCTCTTGGTCTTGTATAGTTTCCCACTGTGCAAAAGCTTCCGCGGCCCCAGGCAGTTGGTGAGGGAGTTGAAAATAAGTTGCTTAAAGAGAAAGAAAATGTCACTTTGGAAGTCCCAGCAGAAACCATCCCAGAGCCCCTGGGAGGCCAGTGCCCTGGGTCTGAGGGTACTGAGGTAGAATTTTCTAGGTGGGAATGTGGCTGGAATCAGTTCTCTTTACACAAAAGATCCTTAAATTTATTACTCTTCAGAGTTCAAACTGGCCTATTGAAAATCATTACTTAAACCCACGGAATACTGATTCTATCAGCTGAATTCAAAGAACTCAAAACAACCTCCCCCCCCCAATTCTTTCTTTATGGGAAAGGAAGATGACTACCCAAGAAGGAGTATCTGTGTAGGGGCAGGAAGGTGATTCCACATGGGCTGAGCCGAGGTGTAGACTGTCCACACTAGGGGAAGGCTTGCAGCTGCTCCCCCCCCAGAAGCTGACTGGTGGGACCCAGTTTAACAGCACAGCTCGCACCTCTGCGAGACCTTCGCACTGAACATGCGCCTGGATCCACTCCAGTCGGTCTGAATTTTCCTTCTCCCGAACTCCCTCATTAACTTGAGAGCAAAGCTCCTCTGCCCGCTCCAGGGCCAGCTTTAGGGAGGAATGGTCCACGTGACTCTCCAGGGTGTTCTCCAGAATCTGGAAGAGAGAGGGCTGCGTCACGTGGGACGTATTATGTCTGTCACCCACCCAGCCAGCCATTCACTGGCTACTTCCTCTGTCTGAATGTTACTGGCTGTGTACATGTGCTTGGTGCTATGCCAGGCACTGGAAATACAACAGTGAATAAGATAGTAGTTTCTGCCATTGAGAAGCTCATGGTCCCAAAAGTTCTTGGGGAGACAGGCACAGGTAACTCAGTTACAACAGGGTGTGAAAAGTGCTATTCTGGATCAACTGCCCTGAAATGTGTGGGTTCCTGGTTACTCTCTGGCAGGGTCCTGGTAACGGGAGTATGTTAAAGGGTACCTCCCTATATCCCCCCAATATTTTAAGCCATGTATCTTTAGGGTGAGCCTTCCAATATAAACTGGCTGCAACCTTGATAAGTGTGTTAACTTGTTGAATAGCAATGGTTCATAACATTTTTGGGATCACTGATCCTTTTGAAAAATCTGATGAAAGCAATGATTTCCCTGTCACAGGAAAAACACAATAAAACCATGTTGTCAGCATGTAGGAAAAATGCATTCAGTTTATTCTGAAGTGACTTCAAATTACTAATGCTACCAATGTAAAAGAATAGAGGCTAGAATACAACTTTGTGTGGTCTCTTCAGAAATTAGTGGGACCATCACCAGGCGAATCCTGTCTAGACTCTTTCATTCTAGTTGGACAGGTTCACAGTCCTTCGTTTACAATTCTAAAGTATAAAAAAGCCTAAAGCTTTTACTTAGTACTCATTTGGTGGCAAAACCTGACCTGAATGGAAGAGATGCGTTTACTTATTTTTCTTGCAGTGATTCTTCACTGTAGGAATACGAGTACTTGTGTGTTTGCTTATAAGTGCTGTCCCAGGCTTTGTTCGTACATGGTATTTGAAATCACATTCTGAATTCTGAAACACATCAGTCCAAAATATTCCAGTAAAGGGACTAGGGATCTGTACTTATAGGTCACTTTGGTATAGGTATCTGTAACAAAAGGTCTATGTTGAGTTCACAGACTAAAAGTCAAGGAATAATCAATAAAACTAACAGTCATATTCTTCCTGCTATTTTTCTTTATAAATTATATCAGTGATTTTTTGTGGAATAATTCTTCCTAAATCTGCCTTTTCCTTAGAAGACATATTGGCTCAAGAGACCCCCATTGCTTACATCAAAAAGAAAGATGGATGGAATTTTAAAAGGAATGTTTAAGGCCGAGCCCGTGGCGCACTTGGGAAAGTGCGGTGCTGGGAGCGCAGCGGCGGGAGCCCCACGGGTTCGGATCCTATATAGGGATGGCTGGTGGCGCGGTGCAGCCGGTCTCAAAAGGGACAAATAAATAAATAAATAAATAAATAAATTAATTAATTAAATTTAATTTAATTTAAATAAATAAATAAATAAAAGGAATGTTTAAGGCCGAGCCCGTGGCGCACTTGGGAGAGTGCGGCGCTGGGAGCGCAGCGGCGGGAGCCCCGCGGGTTCGGATCCTATATAGGGATGGCTGGTGGCGCGGTGCAGCCGGTCTCAAAAAGGACAAATAAATAAATAAATAAATAAATAAATTAATTAATTAAATTTAATTTAATTTAAATAAATAAATAAATAAAAGGAATGTTTAGTCAGCAAGTTGAAATGGGATGTGGCGAGGGGATGATAATGAACTCTGTTTAGGACATGCTGAGATGGAGACTCCTGGGACATCTAGGTAAAGATGTTCAGCTGGTAGATGAATTTAGGTCTCAGAGGAAAGACTGGAGCCCAAGGTTATGCTAATGGTGTTTTCTGGACTCAAGCGGGCTGCAGAGCTGGAGACCTAGAGGGTCCTTTACTCTGCCTAGACAAACACACTTATGATTCTGAGACGTTGGGGGGGTTCTAGGAAGGAGGATGACAGGTTACCCATGTGACACTGGATCCCTCTTTTATTTGCCCACTTCAAGGATTCAGCCCTTTGGATTGTGTGTGTTCCTGTGCATGCACATACATGTGCACACACTCCGGGCCTGGTGCATCAGACAGTGGGATCACTTCTGTAGCATTAATGTGGGGGTGGGCTCGCATACTCGGAGGCTCGCTGACTATCTGGACTCTGTGAACCTCCGCAGGTCTTGCTCCTAAGTCACACCCAGACTGCCCCAACCTGAGCACTCACACTCCTGATGAGCAGAGGGTAGCGGGTGATCCTCTGCATGGGCTTCAGCAGGAAGCTGGAAAGGGGCATTCCTTTACACCGAGGGTCAGATGCCAACTTCTGCAAAATAATTGAGGGGCTTGTGAGGAAACCAGAACTCCAATTAAAACAAAGGAAGCATTGGCCATACTCCTGCCTTTGACCACCTTTTAGATGTCAAATTTCTTTTAATAACTCAGGATCCCAAACGATATAAATTATGCATTCTCCCTTAGGCTGTATAACAGATCCCAATATGCAGTATTTCATGAACAATAAAATCCAACAAGAAATGTAAAAGAAAAGCAAGAAAATAGACTTTACTTTCACTTCTCTCACCATTTTAACATGTGTAGTGACAGTTCCTATTACTGTACAACATCAATGAAAATGACTTCTCAAAATGTGACATTCTGTTATAACAACCAGCTGTACGAAGCTCACTGCTGTATCACTATAAGGATGTTGTTGGTTCAAGGATTCAAGGATTCAGCCC